GCAAGTTGCTATAATTCTATAAACTATAGATTATATTAATATTTATGTTATGGTAGCATAGTTATACTCATGATTTAGCCAGATATCATATGGTGTTGTAAAGAGAAAGAGTGAGAAAGAGAGGTTGAGTGGTGATGGCGGCGGTGGAGGAGATAGAGATAGTGATTGTTGGTGGAGGGATTTGTGGCTTAGCTACTGCTCTTGCTCTTCACAGGTCCAATTTATTGTTTTCTTGCAATTTAATGATAGATTCCCCGTCTTTTCGAAAAATTAGAAAATCGATTAGCAATGATAAAACACTCTTAGGGACCGGGTTTTCGATTCTAGTGGAGGTATCATGGGATTTATCTAATTGATAAGAGGAAGTTTTAGAAAAAAAGTTTATGTGATTGGAATCTCGGGATCAACTAGGAGTTTCTTGTTATGTATTTAACTGGTTTGTAATGAAATTTGGTGATTCTTGGCGATTCATGTTGTTGTATAGGATCAAATTTAGCTTTTATTCTGCTTGGATGAATGCTGTGATTCAGGGACACAATCATTTTCTTGCTTTTCAGTTAGTAGCTCACTAGTGAGTAGTGAATAAAGCAACAAGTATTTTTTATGATTTAATGAAGAGTGTTAAAGATGGCTGAAAGATTAAATGGTATAAAAAGAAAAGCTCTCACTGAAACATAATGTCTGCTATGTATGCAGGAAAGGTATAGAGAGTGTGGTGTTGGAGAGGTCCGATACGCTGCGAGTGACAGGAGCTGCTATCGGTGTTTTTCCAAATGGCTGGCGTGCCTTACATCAGCTTGGTCTTGACTCCAGTCTTCGATCAACTGCTAATACATTTCAAAGGTGATGATACGATTGTAGTACCGAAAACCTGCACTTTAACAAATTAGGACATATGTAATAATTTCTTATTTCTTAATTGTATGTTCAGTGCTTTTGGTTCTGTCTAACATCCTTAAGTATCTTACAGAGCACTTGATGTTTGGGTTGACAAGGGTGTGGAACGAGAAACTATTTTGAGGTAATCTTGAGAGTTTGTGTCCAACTTACAAAGCTTAGTTCTTTCTTTTTTTTTTTTTTTTTTTTTTTTGGTGTGTGTGAGTATCTTGATTCTGGATCAAATGAGCCGTGCACTGACTGCATTCTAAAACATTTTGCTGTTTACTTTTGTGGTCATTGACACTACAACAATTTACACTCAATAATTTCCTCTGTTTCTCACTATACTTGCTTTTCCATGATCTGCATTCTTTAGAGAACTTGTAAATCTAATGTTGTTAACTTAAATACCGGCAGCATAATTGGAGAAATTTGTTTGTTCTGAATAGGAATCGTATAGCTTAACAAAACACATTGTTTCTTACTAACATGACTATCCTTATTAATCAAATAGGTTAGATTGTAAGGTTAATTTAATATTTCAAGGCCCATCAAGGCCATTATATTATATGGATCAAGTAAGCTTCAAATGTTAAGAAATCCTTGAAAAGTTGGCATATTATCTTCAACTGAAGGCCCGAACAGTGCGACACTAACCTACATATGCCATGGTTTGGAATAGAAAACTGGAAGAACTTTAAAGTGAAGTGCTATTGAAAATGTTGAATATTATGCCCTTCAAATTGGATTATGTAGCTTACATTAGATCTTGGAAAAGTTCATAAATGCTTAAGCTTACTCTAGAAAACGAAAACAATCCTAAAAATGGGTTTTAATGTTTTATTACAGTGAAGGGGAGGCTCGTTGCTTGAAGAGAAATGATCTCATCGAAGCTCTAGCCAATGCACTACCGATGGAGACAATACGTTTTGGCTGCCAAGTTGTATCTATGAATGTCGAAAGTTCTACTTCATATGCTATGCTTCAACTCCATGACGGGAGCTTGATTAAAGCTAAGGTATTTCAATACTGCTGTACTTCTCCAAGTGTTTTAGAGGCTTTAAGATAGTTATATATATACCACTGCAGTGGTGGTCATCATTGCAGGAAAAATCGCACATAGGTACATTGCAGAAATGTATTCGATTTTGATATTGCATAAAAGGTTACAGTTGATGCAGCATTATATTTATATCAGTGATATATGCCTTTTATTGGCCTTTGTAGCTTTTGCACAGGTTGTATTGACTTTATATTGGCTCATGATGCTTAAGAACTCAACAAGTTTTAGTTCAGCAAGCTGAAAAACTGATATGGACTACGGAGTACATAATTAGCCAATCTTTAGAGCCTAGTAGTTTTTTTTTTATTGATTGTCCAATATGGATAGTCATTGCATTTCAGATCAAAGGTATAATTGGAACATCCACTTTGTTATCCCTAGGCGCTAGGGTAAAGTTTTGTGTATCCCAATGCCTTAAAAGAGAATTGAAGAGTATTAGGCTCCATGGCTTATGCTAATGCGTGTGTTAACAGTTGCTAGGTTCCTTCTGAAGGTTTTATATAGTATTGGGTCAAAATTCAATTGTCACATGCACACATGTTGGGGGGTGTAGTCGATAAGGATACTCGGTTGGAATGAAGGGTTTTAAGTAATATTTCTTAGGATTCAACGAAGATAGTGAGTTTCGTTGTCTTGCTTTGGATTGTTGATTCCAGATTGATTTTGGCTCTTTTGCCCCCTCACCTCTACTTATTATAAGCATGTATGTGAAGTAATATCAAATATTCTTTCTTTCACTATATGTCTGCACTCAATCAACTGCATGCTTACAAAATGGACTTTCAGGTGTTGATTGGTTGTGATGGAGCAAACTCAGTCATTGCAGATTACATTGGCTTAAAACCTACTCGGCCTTTCACCTCATGCGCTGTCAGGGGCCTTACTTTTTATCCAAATGGCCATGGATTTGCTCCTGAATTCTTGAGAGTAAGAAAAGATAAGTATTTAGTTGGAAGAATTCCAATTGATGAAAAGACAGTTTACTGGTTTGTCGTTCTACAATGGACTCAAGGAGGTAATAATGTAATATTGAAACTATTTTGTTATGCATTAAGTATGAATTTCAATGCTTATTTTCTTAGATTTAGTCCCATCATTATAAGAAGGCCAATAGTCATAAAATATATGTGCTCATTAAATTCTCTGCTTTTCTGATAATATGTGTCCTACTTTGTGTCGGTTTTCTAGTTTAAAGCTCTCGTTTTACAAAGTGGAATGTATTATTTGTTTTGAGGATTTTCTGATTACTGCTTTCTTTGAGTGATCTGATATATAGGTTTATTGCTTAATTTAACTAAAACGCTGTGGAATTTGGAAAAACCAACTCTTAAATGTTTTCTATGTTTTGTTACGTCTATAAAAATTTCTTCAGACTAATTATTGAGAATTTTGCTTAGATTGTACATGATTCCGTGAAGTGTGATGTATTGTTGGCATGTTCATTTGTTCAGCATGGAATGGAAACCATATCGTGAAGTTTACAACCTTTATCCCATTGATTCTCTCCTTTCGTTCTCCTTGAAATCACATCATTCTCTTATTTATCAGTCCTCTTTTTTTTTTTGTGTAGATGCTGAGATGCCGAAAGACTCTGTATCCATCAGACAGATGACCATAGACATAACAGCTGGTTTCTCGAAGGATATTGTGGACATGATAGAGAAGAGTGACTTAAGCTCTTTGTCACTTACACGATTGAGGTATCGAGCCCCATGGAATTTACTTTCTGGTAACTTCCGTAGAGAAACTGTGACAGTTGCTGGGGATGCTTGGCATGTTAAGGGTCCTTTCCTTGGGCAAGGAGGGTCTGCAGCTTTAGAAGATGCAATTGTACTGGCTAGATGTATATCAAAGAAGATAGGCGATGTTGATCTGAACGGGAGTAGAATGCCTTTATCAGCACAGAAGGCTATAGAAGCTTTGGATGAATATTTGAAGGAAAGGAGACAGCGTGTTGTTCTCTCATCACTTTTAACCTACCTTAGAGGTTTATTGTTAGTAGAAGATTCCTCTATTTTGGTGAGATTCCTGTCCATTTTAATCATATCTGTTATGTTCCGTGATCCATCAAGTCACACAAGATATGATTGCGGGAAACTCTGAAGGCTATTATCTTGAAGTCACGTAATTTCTGTGTAACTGGCTGTAGTCTGAGAAGTGAGAACTATCAGGTCTTTTTTGGTGTTGCTTCTGTAAATGGATTCTGAATTTCTTCTGTTGGATACTTGGATGTAACACTGTTTCTGTCTGAACTCCAAAGGCTGATTATGTAAATTATTGAAAGCAACTGTTGTGGAGGCATTCTTAGTCTTTCTTCTGCTCCATAGGTTTTGTATTTCAATTTGGCTGCTTCGTGGCGATGTGATCTGCATGGACTGCATCTAATGAGCATCAGTTTAACGGTTTAGTGCATTTCTTTGTACGGATGAGTAGAATTACGCTGAGCTCAAGCTTGGCTGCTTTGGGTAACTCAGCTCTGCTTAGCATTACTGTTTCTTTTCTCTCTCTTTTTTTTATCCCCTTTTTTTCTAATGAAATCCTTTTTTTTTAACAGAAAGATAAGCCCTTGGGCCAATATACAGTGGGGGAAAAAAAAAAAAAAGCTTTTGGATTTTACATTGGGTTATAGATATCCAATTATAAATTACTTCATAGAAATTTAGAATGGATCAAATAAGATGTACTACGTATAATTAATAAATTTGGATTGGACATGAACCAAATCCAAACTTAAAATTGAACTTCCACTCCTAAATCCTAATAGTCCTAACTATTTGTAGGGTACCCAAATACTAAGGTTTTAATTTAAGTCTCCGGGTTGGGTTTAGTAAAGTCGAGTCGAGTTTATTTTAAATTTGTGACATGTTAAATTTTTGTATCTATACAAATCGAATATGCATTTGGTTAATTTTGGATAGGTTTCGGATTGGGTCGGTAAGACCATTTCTTGACACCTCATAGTACGTTATGATCACAAATTTTTACCGCTGTAACTCTAACAAAGTAACCTCTGAACACTGACCGGATAACTCATATAACACTTACAAAGCAACCCCGTTATGGCCGGCCACGTATAAGTATAACAAATAGTGCATAAGTGCAAAACTACTGATTAGTGGTCACCCGGTCACCCCATTTACTTGACACAATCACACTTGTTAATGCAAGCCACCATTTCTCAACAAACTCCATGAAAACAGAGGCTTAAAGCTCGAGGATTTGGGTCTTCCATTATGATACGAGGTTCATTCACTTGATGAGCTAAAACTTAAAGTTCCCTAATTTCAAATTTCGTAAAATTTCCCGCTCAACCAAATATATTGGAAAATTTACTAATTAGGGTTTTGTATCCCATCTTCTCCAATTACTCAGGTAATTACCTAAGATCATGTTGTATTTTTTTTTTTTTTCCAATTTCCATTCATATTGTGATTTAATTCAGTCATTCTATAATTGGCTTGATTGTGCTATTAGATGCAATGTCAAGGATCTAAACTTGGAAATAGCTAAGTCAGGAGGTTTTGGATATAGGTTGCCCGGGTGTGTATTGGGTGCTAATTCAACAATTGCAAAGTTGAATTTGCAAAATTGTGAGTTAAATCTGTCCTCTTTGATGTGTATACAGTTGCCCAGCTTTGAAATTGACAAATGCTATTGTTGACCTTCGAGGATGAAAAATGCTATCTTGGATTCATTAAGTTAATTGCTAGGCTAAGTCACACTGAAAATTTCTCTCTCCGTCTTGCAACTATTAAGGTAACCAAGAATTCCTGTTGATTAATTCTCTAATAATCCTTTACCAAGGACATAAGTCTTCTTATTTAGCTGATCTGTTTCATACTACATGATACTTATACGTGTTCATGTTTTTTTCATGGGGGTGCTTTTATTTGTGCCAATTAAGGATGCTATAATTCCAGAAAATGTGAGGCTGAAGTCCTGCTCTCCACTGTATGGTGTCAAGCATTTGATGGTATAAAATCTATGAAGTGTTGGCTTACTGTAATAATACATGGTTTTGAGAGAAAATTAATTGCAGAGATAGTAAAGGATAAAATAAAGGCTTATGGATGGTGGAAAAAACTGAACAATATAGAGCTTATGTCTTGTATAATTGTGAGGTAATTGTAGCTAAGCTTAGCTATCTACTAAAAGTATAGGCTAACATTACATATGAGCAGGCAGTGATGTGGGATAGTATCTTTGCTAAGTCAAACTATTCAATTAATAGCCAATACATCTTCTAATAAAATTCTATTGTATGTTGAAAATCATTTATCTGTACCGTGCAGATTTTACTTTCACTAGATTGAAAAATACTCCTATTGATTTAGTCAAGGGTCTCCTGTGGCTTGCTCCCTGCTCAGAGTCTCTGCGTGTATGCAATTTCGAAGATGGAATTCAAAAGTTTTTTAAGGTATTTATTTTCGTATACCATACTAAACATACATCATCATTGCTAGTAGGTGTTTTTTGACCTGTAATCTTTTATTCTCTTTTCTTTGTTCCTTTTAGGCTACTGGTAGTTCTCCCTATATATCTTATCTACCACATTTTAGTATCAACTTATTAAGTTATGTAGCTTTCTTATGGCTGACCCATTCTCTGGAATTTTCGTTGTTGTTATGTAGCTTTCATATGCCTGACCCATTCTCTGACATTTTTGTTGCTGTATGCAAACAAAATCTGGGGTTAGGGTAACACTTGAAGAATAATTTGTCAAATTGACTAAAAATGAACAGTGCAGCGGGATTATCCAGGATAAGTAATACTACGAAATTCCAATCATTAACCATTATTCTAATCTCCTCCATAAACTAGAATTACCAGAAGATCTAAGTTGCATATTGCTCAGTTAATTCGTATTGTTAAGCACACCAGCAGATTACCCTGGTCTTAAAGTCTGCATTAATTTTACTGGTATAATTGAGCATTCTTCAAGTGTGGTGTGGGTTGAACTCTGTTCTGGTCATGGAGCCTTCGGATTCAGTTCTCTTTCCAAAAGTTTCAATTGTATAATTGTATTATTGATGATATACATCTGCAGATTGTTAGATTGCTTATGACATCATGCATGGGCTTAACATGTGTATGTTAGATCTTGTGTCGCATCTAGATTGGCTCATTGAAGCTCGGCTTGTGCTCAGTTTGATTTGAGCTGTTCCTGTACTGAGCCTCAGGTTGTATAAGGCCAAATCCATGTCCAGATATGCATGAAAATTTCTTCTGCACTGCTGCAATAAGTACGCACAGGCATTGTATATTAGTAGTTGCTTATATGCACATATATGTAGTTCATTCTTAGTATTTCTTTCAGGAACACATTCTATTTGAGAATTATAATCATTGCTGAACCGAATTAAAGAAACCTCTCCCTCTCAGAACATAAATGTTTGTTAGAGGCTATTGTTGGCAGTTATTAATTAACTTTTTCTTTTTCTGTTCAGTTTACATATGAGAAGCCATTAGAAGGCAAGAAAAAATGTGGTTGTTGGAAGTCTCTGGATATCAATTGTTGGCGGCATTCGCTTACCAATGTATCGCTTGAGTATGAAGAAGGAGATGAAGATGATACACAATTAGCAGAATTCTTTCGCAATGCCAGGATTGATGGAAAGATGGTGAATTTTGTCAAGACTACTGGGACTGAAATGAAATACAGACGAAGATGGTAAACCTTGTCAAGAATTCTAGGATTGATACTTGAAGCATGTTTCTTCAAAGGTTTAGTAACGACATGCATATATTGAGTTCTTTGTTGGTGTTTTTTTTAGGAGAGAATATGTTTTTGAGCCAGTATTAATACCAAAGCTCGAAAACTGTTCACCTACCTTACCTTAGCTAAATCAAAAAATTGCATCCGTTTTTGAGTACTGAAGGTTAAGGAGCTTCTACTTTTTGTATGTGATGGAAGTATCTTTCTTTTGATCTGAGATCTGATGTTAATAACAGATTTAGATGTAATTTATCTGGTTACTACAGTATATTTTTCTAAACTTATTCTGCAAGTTTATAACCCTTAGCCAAGCAAAGAAACTATCCCTTCTGGAATATCGTGATTAACCCGAAAATGCTTGACAATTTTATGGCTAATTGCAACCCAGATAAGTTTTTTTCCACCATTTTTGAATTTGTTGTATATTATGTGATAGTATCTGGTCTTGTTTAATGGGTTTGTGAAGGATTAATATTAATGGATAATGGTACAAACTGTGTTTTGTGAGGAAATTTCTCAAAATTGTGGGTAAAAAAATCTCCCTGAATATTCTTTAGTTTTCCAAAGATTTCATTTGTTTTGCTTTTCCATTTTCTCATTAAATGAACTATAATATAATACAAGTATACAGATGCAAGTCATGTAATTTAACTATACTTCTCCAAAGATTTCATTTGTTTTGCTTTTCTGTTTTCTCATTGAATGAACAAATTTGGCTAAATTGAGGACTCTGTATATATATATCTACCAATTTCATGTTGATACACTCATTAACTTAAAGTTCGGCCTATAAACTAAATCCGCTAATATAAATATTTTTCTCTCTGTTGAAGCCGGGTTGAGAATAGAAGTTACATACGAAGTATTTACACTGGCAATGTCCAATACTCCGTATAATGTAAAAACCCCCCACATGACTTGAATACTACCTAATACGAAGTATTATACAGTATATTTATATGTACTGTTATTGTACCAGAACGATTTCCATAAAAATTGTTGAATTGTAAATTAATTCTCTATTTGCGTTGGTTTAAAAACTTATTCCCATAATATTGTCCACGTAGGATTGGAAAAAGGTTTGGCCTTTTTTTTTACAAAGAACCGCTAATGGTGATAGCGGTTCTATACTTGTTATTAAACCGCTAACGTCGCTAGCCGTTCTTATATTAAGTTTTAATTGTGAAGTTTTCTTATACAAGAACCTAATACAAGAATCACTAACGACATTAGCGGTTTTATAAGTATAGAACCGCTATCACCGTTAGCGGTTCTTTGCAAAAAAAAAAAAGAAAAAAAAAAAAACTACCAAGCCTACGTGGACAATATTGTGGGAATAAGTTTTTAAACCAACGCAAATAGGGAATTAATTTACAATTCAACAATTTTTAGGGAAATTTTCCTATTGTACCATAGTAATTTATTTTATAATTCGTTAATTCGGGATTCATGCTTGAGGGAAAGGTTCAAATCTTACACAAGGATTAAATATGATAGAGAGATAAACACATACTACCTCCGTTTCATATTTTTACAACGATGTGATATAAAGTAGAGAAGAAAAATGTCTAATCGTTGCAAATAATATAAAACGGAGGTAATATTATAAAAGGATAAAGTCTTACCCAATAATTAGACATATGAAATTTTAAACATATTAAAATTTAGACATATGATTTAAGATTTTAAACATGTGAATAAAAATTTAAAACAAACTGAAATAGAATATAGAAAGTGCGAGTAAAGAATTTAGAACATACGAGTAAAAAAATAGAACATACAATTTAAAATATGGAACATATAATTAAAAATCTTAAAACACACGTTTTAAAATTTAGAACATACAAATTAAAATTTTGGAACAAGTTATTTAAAATTTAGGAAAAATTGCTCCCATTAATCTGAACTTTGCCTCGTCCGCTCAAATTAATCTCAACTTTCGTTTATTATCTATCACTCCCAACTTTAGGGGGTATTAATTTTTATTGCACCCAAATAACTTGCAACCGGTAAATCAGGTAAACATTTGTGAAATTTTTTTTTTTGCACATGTGTCAACATGTAATTGGTTGAGAAAAATAGAGAAAATGTTAAAAAAAAAAAAAAAAAACTTAAAACTAACCAGTAGCTTCCCCACCACACGAACACCACATCCACCACCACACGAACACCACCGACGCACCGATGGCCGGAAACGGCCGATGTTGGGGCTGAATACCCTAATCCGGCCGATTCCGGCCGTTTGTGGCCGATTTCATGGCTAAATGTCACCGATTTCGGCCGATTTCGTGGCTGGGCTGTTGGGGAGGGGTTTTCAAGGGTGGATGGGTTGCTGGGGAGGGGTTTTCGAGGGGGAGGAGGGGTTTTTGAGGGTGACTGGACTGCTGAGGAGGGGTTTTTTAGGGTGGTTGACTGTTGGGTAGGGATTTTCGGGGGTGGGGGAAGGGAAAGGGTGGCTGGGCGACGGTTTCCGGCAGCGAGGAAGGGGTTTTCGGGGGGTGGGCGCGAATTTCCAGCGGGGGAGGGGGTGGTGATGGAGTGTTTTCCGGGAATGGGGGGGGTGGTGGCTGGGTTTGGTAGTTTTTTTTTTTTTAATTTTTGTTTTTTTTTTTTTGAAATTTTTTTTTTTTGGAGCTATCACGTGTGGTAACCTACTACATCAGGTTGGATGACCTATTGGGTGCAATAGAAATTAATACCCCCTAAAGTTGGGAGTGATAAATAATAAACAAAAGTTGGGATTAATTTGGGCGGACGAGACAAAGTTCAGATTAATGAGAGCAATTTTTCCTAAAATTTATGACATCGAACTTAATTGATTTATGGTTTAGAATATGTGAGTACTAAATTAAAATGTGAGTAATAATTAATTTTGTGTTGGGTCTAAAGACATATATATATATATATATATATATATATATATATATATATATATATATATATATATATATATATATATATATATATATATATATATATATATAAAATAAAAATTATAAAAATAAAAAGAAGTGAAGATCGAACGCTCACTTTTCTCTTGGGATTTCAAACTTGCAGGCTGTTGCTTGGATCGGGTTTGTGTTGGGTTGTCATAGGTTTTAGCTAGTATATTCCAAAGTTCGTGAGAAGTTTTTGTTTGACAAATAAGAGGAAAGTGATTAGAGGATATAGTGTCGATGATGGCACCAAAAATTAGCTTATTTTGGCGAAACCAAGTTTGATAAGCAGGGTTTGGAAAGATGGTGTCTTTGGCTATGGTTATGGTGTTGGAATGGTTCCGTCAATATGTTTGTCTCATAAGTCGTAGCTAATGAGCACGACTCCATCTTGATTTTTCCATGAAAATAGTTGTTGGAAGTTAGCGCGATCGAGTTAGGGATAATAACCTTGATCAAAGGTTTTGAGGGCTCATTCACGTTTGGGAACAAAATTAGATTATTCTTGCTGTCGTCGTTGAAAATGTTTTGAATTTTCAACTCAAACAACAAAATTTACAAAATTACAAATCCATTCTTCAACTGACTCATAATTTTCATTTTTTTTTCTTTTAACCTCCATAACATTTACTTTATTATTAATTTCAATTATAACCCCTATTTATAATCTATTGAACATATTAATCTACAGACCCTCCTTGAAATACTAATTAGAATGGGATTGCTATCTCAAAATCTTATCTAATTAGAATTGAAAATTTTGGCGTCTTAACTTGTGAATTGTGATCCAAGTTCCTTGTGGCTCAAACTTGATTCGTGTTCGGCAACAAAACTTTGAACACATCGAAAACTTTACGTGCAATTCATTATAACAGTTTAATACCGTTTTATCTGATCTTCGAATGAACTACAATTAGGACGGCATTTGCATTTTGGACATGAAGTATCAAAATTTCTTATTTATAATTATTTCTTTTGTGTTAAACCGATAATTCTTTTGTGTTAAAATGATTATTGTTACATTACTCTTCTGTTTGATTATTTGCATGATCATACGGTGAATTTGGCTATACTCTAATTGAATTAATGTGGATAATGATTAGTTAGTTTGTTAAACACTATCTAATATGTCGATTTGTATGTGCATTTGTTGTTTTGATCCTATTCAGGAAAAAAAAATTAATATAATGCTTCTTTAGATTATAAATTGACTAGGCTGACACTGTTCCGTATTATTTGAATGACATTTTAATCCAATATTTTGATTCACACGAGTTGCCCAAGTAGCAAACTCCAGCCTAGACTTCCAATGCCAGCTACAAGAACTTGTAAGTTGTAACAGATAAATAACCACCTTTACCACCTCATTTTAATGTATATTATAAATAGTATTGGTCGGCTGACTATTTTTTTAAAAAAATTGATACATAAGTGTATAATCTTTATGTGCATTAACCAATTATGAGTATTTATAGGTGATGTATGGAGATGGAAGAAGTACGTAGAAAATTCTACATGCTCTTTAAATTGCCACATAAATCCAAAATCTTCCTAAGCACTAACCAATTCTAGATTATTCCATAATTCTCCATCAAAATCTCAATATATGAGAATTTTCTAAAAAAAATTGCACACCTTGAGACATTATTAATTGGACTTATTAAATTTGGGCCACACTAACCCAACAATAAATAACCACAACTACCAACTCTTTAGGAATGCACCTTGCTTTAATGTTGGAAACAAACCTTTTTTTTTTTTTAAGGAAGTAATAAGATTGAGAGTTGTAGCTGTATTCAGTAATTTCTTTGTAGCCGTTATCATGTCCTTGGGATAGCTGAAGAATTACGGTGTTATCTTATGATTATATTTTACAAAAGAAGTCATAGGAAAACAAATCCGAATGGAAGGATTTATCATATACAAATATTTAATAACATCCGGTTTACACTAAATTAGTGTAAATCGGGTTGGGCATGTAACTTCATCAACTCTAAGCAATGGAGTCACCACCGAAGTCAGCCGAACCACCGCCAAGAAAAACAATCACCATCAAATCACCAACCCTTTCGCCACTCCCAACTGCTGGAAGGTTTTCATATGTGATAGTGCTGGAGATTTGAGTGGTTTTGAGGAGAGAGAAAACAGGGTATTGTAGAAGATGAAGAAAGGGGTGAATTTGAAGGAGGGAATAATGAAGGAATGGATAACATGGTTGGCGTTAAGCTTGCCGGGAGTTTTTTTGCCCCCATTTAAGCTTGAGAGGACTATTCAAGTCTTTACGCTCACTTCACTATGATACATATTCAAGTCTTTATTGATTTTGATACTCTATTTTGGGGAAAAAAGTCACTTTTGTGAAAAAAAAAAGTCACTTTTTTGAAAATAAAAAAGGAAAAATTGAAAAGAATAATCCCACCTTTGGCACATCTTCTCAAAATAATCTCACATTTGCGTATTCTGAAAATAATCCCACCTTTATACCCCATATTCTCAAAATGAGCCTTTCACCTGTTAGTGAAATTGGTAACCGGTTTTGAAGGTATTTTACCACGTGTTGTCTTCTAATTGGTTGTTTGCATTTATTTATTTTTTAAAAAATTAAGGGAATAAAGAAAAAAAAAAACTTCTTCTTCCTTGCTTTGCAGCCCTGCCAGAGCCACCCCTCCCTCATGAGATCGGATGCCCGCCGGAACAGCCAGAAGCCGACCAACCAGACCTAACCGCAGGATTCCCTCCCACCTAATTCATCACCACCACCACATCCCGCTTCAACCCCTAATCCCTTTCTCGCAAAGTACCGGTGGAGGTCGGTTTTAAGGCAGGTCTAGTGCGGTTGTGTTTCGATCTAGTTGGGTGGGTTTTGGTCTAGTGGGACAGGTTTCGGTCCGATGTGACGGGTTTCCGAGTGGGCTAAGGTTCCAGCTAATTGGGTGGGTTTCGGTCTAGTGGGGTGGGTTTCGATCTAGTTGGGTGAGTTTCGATCTAATGGGTGGCGCCTTGCTGGGGGTGTCGGGTGTAGGGGCTTTCGGTGTGGGTGAGCGGTTGGACTAAGGGGATTTTGTGGTGGTCAGATCAGAGGGGTTAGGTTTGAGAGCTCGGGGTTTCAGGTGGGGTGGTAGTGGTGGTTATGGATTGATGGCGGTGGTGGTGGTGGTCATGGTGGGGAAACCATTAAAGGGGATGAGGAGGAGATGGGAAGGTAGGAGGAGAGAGATAAAGAAATTAAAATAAAATTAAAACTTAAAAAAATTTGACCTGTTAAACAGGTTGTAAGTAAAAAGGATCATTTTAAGCAGATGCAAGATAAAGGTGGGATTATTTCCAGAATTCGCAAAGGTGAGATTATTTTTAGAAGATGTGCTAAAGGTGGAATTATTCTTTTTAATTTTTCCAATAAAAAAAGAACACTTTTGCGGAAAAAAAAGGTCACTTTTGTGGAAAAAAGGGTCACTTTTGTGAATAGAAAATGTCACTTTTGTAAAAATACAGGTCACTTTTATAAGAAAAAAGGGTCACTTTTGTAAAAAAAAAAAGTCACTTTTGTAAGTAAAAAGGGTCACTTTTCGAAAATGTTCGATGTACAATAAAATTATTGTAAACCGTGGGCATGCAAAAGTTTTGTTTATCATATCTATAGTTAGTTAGTAGTTAAACAAAATTTTTATTTAGGCTTTCGAATGGGCTTTCATGAGATAATACACTTTGTTAGCCAATTATTTGATCAGATTCTATAAGAGGCACTTGCTAATTGATACTTGTGCAGATAAAACTAAAAGTGCAAGTAGCAAATGATGATTAATTGTAATCCTCTTTGGTAGCTATGTCAGCTATGCATCATGATTCATCACCTCAACTTGGCATTGTAGGGTCTAAAATGGAGGAAATTTTAGATGTATTGTTTTTTCATGCGAGCATATATGGAGCTTTGTGTTTGTAATACTTTTACTAAATGTTCATTTTTAAGGTCGTTGTAACACCCAATAATTCTCTCTTTAAACCTGTGAGGACCCTGAACAATATTCAAGAGAATTACTGGTGTGCTACCACCACGTGTTCAAACGTTAAGGCTTTATCAGAAAATAGCAGCGGAAAACTAAAATAAATATATATAAGTTTCAAAACCAATAACCAAAACCAAATTAAATCTTACAACTTGGAACCCTTAAGGCCCTTATTCAAAGCTGAGACCAATAGAAATAGTATGAAAGCAAAATTGAGTTTAAATAACTTTAATTGTAAATACTAAATAAAATAAGAAAAGCAACCAACTCTTCACTCAAGATCCCACCATCTAGAAATAGATGCTGTATGTGTAAGAACCTGTGGTTAATCTGCTCCCCAATATTACAAGTGTAAAAATTGGATCGTCACAGGGTCATTGAAAGGCGAAGGCCATGACCAAAGAAAGACACACACAAAAGCACGCAATCAGCAAAGCTGAGTACATACAAGCTGCGAAATAAATTAAGAAAATACCTAACATGCTACTAATAATCAAGCATAAGCCTCATTAATTAAATACAGACTCAACACATGACTCAATTATCAAATTTATTAAGACCTCACTAGTTGATATTAACTAACTCATTCATTTATTTCATTGGATTTAGCAATAGACAAGGTTGTCCAACCAATATCCCATTTGGAACATCAATAAAATTAAAGAAAAACTCCATGCCTCCTTTCGGAAACATCAATAAACATCCAACGACCACAGGCGCGACTCCGTGACCGTATTTAATATGAGATCTCACCTAACTCCTAGTTTTTTAAAAAAATATTGAAATAGGAGACTCGTAGATCAGACGGCCTCGATAAAAGTACACGGCTAATACCCCATGTACCCCAACCCTTGATTGTCATTACTCCAGATGTGCACCAATCTAGAGTTTTATTGCTCATCCATCTTGCACTTTACGTGATTTACATGTTTAAACTTAGTGATGACTCATATACATAACAATACAAACATTCCAAACACAATTCAATCAAACAAGGCAAGTTTTCAATTTCAATTCTTGATTTATTAGTGACAAACAACATTTATTATTTATTCCTTTACTACCTCGGTGTATAAACACCTTGAGTGCATAAGGCACCCCAAAACCTCAACCTCGTCTTATAAGACTTGAATTCTTCCTTTACTCATCCTGTTTGCATAATCATGAATGAGTAATAAATTAATCTTTACACCAATCACATACCTTTGCCTCTAAGCGCACCTTGCATAATTAGAGCACGAATAATACTTGCAATATAAAATAGTGCACATCATATGAAATTCACAATGTATAACCAAACAATCTAACTCAGTCATTCCTATACATGATACTAAGTTCTCGATCTGTCCTTAAACATGCACCTAAAAGCAAGGTTTCGTAACTTGTACGTACCTTGAATAAACGAATTGGTATGCCACTTTACTATCTAGAAATCACCTTCAATAAATTCCTCTCCTAAACCAAACAATAACATCTCAATCAATACCTAATCAATCAAATTTACAGCAATACTAACTTACTTTAAAACCTTCAAAATCCAAATCAAACAACACTTTAAAACCTTCCCTTTAGTTAAAATTAAAGGCTTATATATAATTATTTAAATTTTCTTCATAAAAACCTTAAAATACACTCTTATACATGAAATCACAGCAAGTTCAAAGTCTAATAAAAATCTGAAAATTATTTAAAAACCCCTAATAATCTTCCTTTTTAATGGGTGATTAAACCCTCTTTATAAAACATCAAAAGTAGTACTTAGAAACTATTTTCAGCACTTAAAACTCCAATAAAAACATATATTTATGCTTAATTAACATTAAACATAATTAATATTATTAATTAAACTCAAGGATAATATTTTAAGTATAAAAAAAACTTCGTAAAAATGAAAAACTGCTAGAAAATCATATTAAGAGGCTGAATTTGGCCACGAGAGGGTGGTGCATACTACCAAAGGTAACGATTCTTTCTTAAAACATTATTTCCACATGAAAAACACTACTTTTTCATCAAAATCGGATGAGTTTAGAACCTAATCGGGATTAAAACAGGATTAATATTAATGAACGAAAATCTTAAAATTAAAACACGAATTTAAGTGTTCAAAATAATCTGGAATTAAGTTAAACTAATTAGTAGTTATAATCACCAAAATTTCAAAACATCATTACTATAAAAGCCCTAAATCAATTGTTCATGAAAACCTTAAAATCATGATTTTCAATAATTAAAAACCCTAGGTTATAAAATTTACAAAATCTGAAAATTATGACCATTTATAAAATCTGAAATTATAAAGTTTAATCATCAAAATACAATTTGGCACTAATTAAATTAATTTCAAACAAAAAATCAAAACCCATAAATCAATAATTATAATTACACAAATTAATAAAAACAAAGGAGAAAATAAGACTAACCTTTTTGTGTGGAAAATTTTTGGGGATTAATGGAATATTTATAGGGAAGAATGTTGTAGGGTATAGAGAAAGATTGGGCCTCATAAAATTAATGGGCCAAATGAATGAAATGGACTAAACTTTAGTTGTATTGAAGTAAATTATAAAATGAAGGTTCATAAAATAATTTGTTCCAAAATAATTTTTGACCCAAGTTAATAATTTGAAATTAAATTACGGAAAAATACAAAACAATATTATAAATAAAATTAAATTTCATTTATAACATATTTAAAAATACGGGGGATTACAGTCGTAGTCCATCAAGTTTATAACATATGATGATCATGTTCACTTTTAATGTACTAAATTCATTTTTTAATACAACATGTTCATTTTTTTATCACTGAATGTTCAATTTTTATACGTGTTCATATTTTTTTAACTAAATGTTCATGTTATAGGGTGTGGTGCAGAGTACAACTAATACTTATTGCAAAAAAGATGTATACGCAACTTAAAATTGAACTTTTACTCCTAAGAGTCGTAACTATTTGTCGGATAACCAAGTAATGACGTTTTAATTTGAGTGTTTAGGTTGGATTCGATAAGGTCGAGTCTATTTTGAATTCAAGACATGGTAAATTATTTTGTCGGTGGTGAAGGCTATTAGGCAAGGTCATGAAGGTGCTGCTCCTATCTACTTATTTTACGAGGATATCTCTAGTATGTGTGTTGATTTTGTGTCTTTTATTTGTGTTCATGTAAGACGGGCGGGGAATACCGTTGCTCATTTAACTGCTAGATGGGAGACGGATGATACTTTGGAATATTTATGTACGAACTCTATACCCCAAAGCTTACTTACTTTGGCGGAACTTGATTTAATAAACTAAACTATTTTGTCGATACAAATTGAATTTGCATTTACGAGTAGTTTTTTGGGTAGGTTTTGGATCGGATTGGTCGGGTCCGTTCTTGACGCCTCGTAATACAGTATGACTAACCATAACCACTGGTCAGTGGTCACCCCATTTACTTCACATAATCACACCTGTTAAAGCAAACCACCATTTCTCAAAAAACTCCATGAAAGCAGAGGCTTAAAGCTCGAGGATTTGGGTCTTCCATGGCGGTACGAGGTACATTCACTTGATTACTCTACAAGAGTAAAAACCCCAAAGTTATATAATTTCAAACTTCGTAAAAATTTCCCGCCGAAGCAAATATATTGGAAAATTAACTTATTAGGGTTTTGCATTCATCTTCCCTAATTCCTCAGGTAATTCCCTAAAATCAAGTTAATTTTTTTTTTCTTTTCAAATTTCCATTCATATTGTTAATTAAATTCAGTCACTCTACAATTGTTTGTCATTCTTGCACAATTATTTATATATGACATGTATTAGTATGATAGTTAAGGCAAAAATTATAATTTATTGATTATACTTGAAATTATCAATTGGAAAATTCTTAATTTGTACGAGTAATGTTATTAGGTTAAAATGGAGAAGAAGATTGATTTAGGAATGAGTTATGATCGAATCACCGATTTACCGGAACCCCTTAAACACCATATACTCTCATTTTTGCCAACTAAGTATGCTGTTCAAACAAGCATTTTGTCCAGCAGTTGGCGGATGGTTTGGGCTGGACTACGTACATTGGATTTCAGTGATACGTATCCTAATAAGTCGCTGATCGTGGAAGAATCGTCCTGTTATCATAGGGATATCGCCTTAAAGACCAATGGGGAGACTATTGTTAGGATGAGGGAGGACTTTTACAACTTTCTTGATCGAGCTTTTGGGTTGGTTATGGAGTTGGAGGAGCTTAAGCTTTATGTGCCCAATTTTGGGCCGGAGTTGGGGTATCGTGTGGATCATTGGCTTGCTTGTGCTGTTGGATGCAGTGTCAAATATCTGAAATTTAAAATAGCCAAGTGGGAAGGTTTTAGATATATTTTGCCTGGGTGTGTACTTGGTGCGAATTCAATTGTAAAATTGGAATTGAATAATTGTGAGCTGAATTTATCCTCTTTTATGTGTACACAGTTGCCTTCTTTACGAGAGTTATGGTTTGATGATGTTTTTTTGGATGAGGTGGTTATGAAGATTATTTTTGGAATTTGCATTAATCTAGAAAGTTTCTACTTAAGAAATTGCCGTGGGTTGACAAGACTTGAAATCTCTAATCTTACTCCCAAACTACAGATGGTAGATGTTGTACTACAAGAAGTTGATTTGGAAGTGATTAAGATAAGTTTACCAAGCCTTTTGGATTTCAGTTATTGGTATGATGGTTGTCTCAGTCAGCAATTTTGTGAAATAGACGTATCAGGCTGTAAAAATCTGGAGAGTTTGTACCTGAATTGTGTTCAATTGGATGATCATGACTTGAGTTTCTATTTAGAAAATCTTCCTGTCCTTAAACAATTGTGTTTAACCAACTGTCCTTATTTGGAATATGTTGAGATTTCAAGTGAACGCCTTGCACACCTGGCTATTGACAGCTGTAGGGGCTTGGTAAAAGTTAAAATTCATACTCCTAATCTAAAATCGTTCACTTACTGGGGAGAAAATGTCATATCTTTGGTGTCTAAGGGTCCAGCTCTAAAGCTGGAATATGCTATCGTTGGCGTAACTGGTGGTTTCCAGACTGAAAAGTGGTATCTTGGACTCGTTAAGTTAATTGCAAAGTTTAGTCACACTGAAGATTTCTCACTCCGTCTTGCAACTATCCAGGTAACCAAGGATTCCTGTTAATCAATTCTCTCGTAATCCTTTACTGAGGACATAAATCATCTGCTTTAGCTTATTTGTTTCCTACTACATTGTACTTCTACATATTCATGTTCCTTATATTTTTTGTTTCTCATGGGGGTGTGCTTTTGTTTGTGCTGATGAAGGATGCTGTAATCCCAGAAAATGTGAGACTGAAATCCCTCCCTCCACTATATGGTGTCAAGGAAATGATGGTTGAGATTCGTGTGTCAGCTATTCATGGTATTTTATAACCTTGTACTAGATATTATGTATTGTTGGCTTAGTGTAATAATACATGGTTTGGAGAGAAAAGTAATTGCAGAGATGACAAAAGGTTGAAGGAAGGCTAAAGGATTATGGGATAAACTGATTTATAGCAAAAACTAGGGAATAATTTTGGGTGAACTGTCACTCGTTCAATTGCATCTGAAGATAACTATTTATATGTGATCACATGCCATTTTAATCTTCCAATAGCCATTCTTCACGTGTCCATGCATGAGACTGAGTTTTAAGCTCAACAATATAGAATTATGTCTTGCGAGGTAATTGTAGATTTGTAGCTAAGCCTGGCTATCTACTAAAACTATAGGGCAACATTAAATAAGAGCCTGTAATGATGTGGGATAATATCTTTGATAAGTCCAGCTTTTTTTCTTTTTCTTTTCTTCTTTTTTTTTTTTTTTTTTTTTTTTTTTTTTTTTTTTTGGGTTAACATTTTGTAACATTCTTTTCAATTAATTGTCAATAAGTATCTTCTAGTATAGTTGTATTGTATGTTTGACAATTGTTAATCTTCTCTGTGCAGATTATAATTTCACTAGATTGAAACATACTCCTGTTGATTTAGTCAAGTGTCTCATGTGGCTTGCTCCCTGCTCAGAGACTCTGCGTATATGTAATTTCGATGATGGGATTGAAAAGTTATTTAAGGTATATTTATTTGGATACTATACTCAACATACATCAACAATGAAAATCTGTGGATTTTTTTGGTCCTGTAATCTGTAATTATCTCTTTTCTTTGTTTCTTTTTGTTCACTTGTTACTCTGTCTACAAGTAGTTCGGCTTTCTATCTTACATTACATATTTGCACCAACATATCAATTTACATTACACTAGACAGTCCTCTGTTCTTATATTAGTGGCTTAAGTTTTGTCCTTGTATACAACTGTTTATAATTTGTCAGTGCTGTCGTTTTAAGTATCTAGCTTGCGAATTGCACCCTCTTTGAATGTGCATTGTGGATTTAGGGAAGGGAATGCTTGCAGAATCGGAGAAATCTAGGAGCTGCAAGAAGGTTTTTGCAAGCAATGATTCCTGGACTTGCATGTGCAAGTGCAAAGCAACTATATGCATCTTGTTATACTTATACATGCAATTGAATTAACTTATAATCTAGTCAAATAGGCAAGCACTCGGGTAATCAAGTTTAATTTGTACATATCATTGTCACTAATTTATAATTTTACAGAGAATAGGAAGTTGTATATTATACAAATATTTAGATAATTAAACTCTCATGCCACTTCAGAATTTGTTCACAAAAAGTTTAATGTATCATCAATATTTAGGCATCCTATGAATTGTCCTTAAAATTGGAGGCTACATTGTGACTTGCGAGAGATATCGATGAATGTATTATCATGAGTGTGGAATAATATTGGCCATTTGTTATAGTAGTTACTCTGATGTGCCTCAAGTAATCTAGTCTAAATTGATTCTTATTGGTGTAGGGTAACTTCACTTTTGGAATATTTTCTAATTTTATATCCTTGGAGGATAGGAAATACTTTTGTTTATTCTATCTTAGCATTTACTTTTATTATTTACTCAATTTGTCTTTTATAAACTTTATTGATTTCCTTTGCTTAAGTATTCTTAAACCATAATGTATTCTATCCACACATTTGTACCACTCCTTTAAAACTCTATTTTAAGGTACTCTTCTAAAACTCTCTTAAATTTTAGTTGGATGCTCTTTCTTTTCCTCACTTTACACACCTTTTTTCTAGCCTTACCAATTAGTTATCTTGTTATGTCCTTTTTTCTTTGTCGGATGGTTCTTTATGACAATTCATGTTAGCCAACCCCAAATCATTTTGGGACTAAGGGTCTGTTCTCATTGACTGAACTGAACTAAATATTTTAAAAGAGAAGGAAATTAGGAGCTGAACTGAACTAAACTGAATTTCAACGTACGAGAACAGGCCCTTAGGCTTTGTTGTTGATGGAAGAAGGTAGGAAATACTATCATAAATTTCTTTGTTTTCATTATGCAGAAGGGGTGTGGATTTGGGGCATGCTTAAGTATTTAGTTAGGTGCTACACCTGTTATGGTCTAAAATAATTGGTTTCTATCTTGTTTTCTATTGGCTGTGCTTTTTCAACGAAATGGATTTGGAAGAACTGGGCTACTACAATCAAGATAGAATAAAAAAAGTGTATTAAATTGTCACATAATGGTAGTTCAATATATTGATATTTGAGAATATCTCAAGGTTATAGAGTGAATATATGATTGCGGGTGCACTTGATTTTTTTGAAGTGATTGTTGAGTTACTGTTTGCAAGTGAGGAGTTAAGTATCTTATGTGAACTTTCTATGCTATATTGTTATTTGTACTGTTTTATGATGGTATATATCTGCAGATTGTTAGATTGCTTATGACATCGTGTGTGGACTTAACATGTGTATGTTAGATCTTGTGTCGCATCTAGATTGGCTCATTGAAGCTCAGCTTGTGCTCAGTTTGATTTGAGCTGTAGCTGTACTGAACCTCAGGTTGTGCTAGGCCAAACCCATGTTGAGATGGGCATGAAAATTACTTCTGCCCTGCTGGAATAAGTAAGCACAGGCATTGTGTATTATTAGTTGCTTATGTGCAACATATATGTTGTTCATTCTTAGTATCTCTTTCGGGAACACATTCTATTAAGAAACCTCTCCCTCACAGAACAGAAATGATTGTTAGAGGCTATTGTTGGCATTTATTAACTTTTTCTTTTGCCTTTTCAGTTTACATATGAGAAGCCATTAAAAGGCAAGAAAAAATGTGGTTGCTGGAATTCTCTGGCTATTAACTGTTGGCGGCATTCGCTAACCAATGTATCGCTTGAGTATGAAAAAGGAGATGAAGATGATACACAATTAGCAGAATTCTTTCGCAATGCCAGGATTGATGGGAAGATGGTGGATTTTGTCAAGACTACCGGGCCTGAAATGAAATACAGATGGTAAACCTTGTCAAGAATTCTAGGACTGAAGCATGTTTCTCCAAAGGTCTTGAGTCGACATGACATATTGACTTCAGTGTTGGTGTTATTTTGAGGAGCATGGTTTTGAACCAGTACTAATACTAAAGCTCGAAAATTATTAGCCTACCTTACCTTAATTAAATCCAAAAATTGCATCCGTTTTTGAGTACTAAAGGTTAAGGAGCTTCTACTTTTTGTATGTGGTGGGAAGTATCTTTCTTTTGATCTAAATCTGATGTTGGTAACAGCATAGATGTAGTTTATCTGGTTACTTCAGTATATATTTCTAAACTTTACCCTGCAAGTTTATAAACCCTTTGCCGAGCAAATGACTTATCCCTTCTGCAATATCGTGATTAACCAGAAATTGCTGGACAATTTTATGGCTAATTGCACTCATACAGAAAGTTTGGCCTTCCCTTTGTGTGCGCTGTTCAGGATTCAATCTCTTAAGCTTTTAGGGCTTGTTGAACCTAAGCCAGCCCTGAGTTGCGAAGAGTTGAGGCTGGTGCACACAGTGCAGTTCTAGTTGATTTTGCATGCAGTTGGGAGGAGTATGTGTAGACTTTTCTTGTATAGCAAAATTGTCTTAGTCAAAAAACGTGAGTTGAAATTGCGAATTCAAGGATTCCTACTTTTCTATGTCTCAATTTTGTCCACTTTTCTGAGTCTTAACTCTTAAGTTTTTCATGTCATCAATTTTGCCTAGGAGTCCGTGACAATATCTTTGTTGCACATACTATGAATGGGGTAGTTTATACCGAGTAATATAATGTAAAAACACAACATGACTCGGGTACTACCTAGTACGAAGTATTGTACAGTATTTTTACATGTACTGTTAATGTACCACAGTAATTTTATAATTTGGGATTCATTCTTGAGGTTAAGGTTCAAATCTTGCACGAAGAGAGAAAAAGGTAGTCTTCACATAGATTAAAGGTTAAAAACTTACCCAATAGTTGGCCAATCAACATGACAAATTCACAATTATTGAAGTGTCTCATTGATAATGATATCCCTTATTTCTCTGTACACGGTTGCCATTTTGGACTTTTGGTAAGAACTATGCCTTTTTATTCTTAGCTTTTGTCCCATTTAATCCCCAAAAGAAAATAATTAAAAAAATAAAAGAAAGAGGAAATTAGCTTTTTTTTATACGAGTAATTCATTATTTCGGGAATATCCTCGAGGGAAAGGTTCAAATCTTACACGAGGATTAAATTAAATTATGATAGAATAATTAGTCAGTCCACATCACAATTATTTTAGTCTCATTGATATCCCTTGGTATCTCCGTACTAAGGTTATGGTTTGCATTTTGTGAACAACTCTACAATTTTTTTTTTTTTTTGGTTTGTAAATCCAACAACTCACCTCTTTAATCCAAAAAAAACGGAAAAAAAAAAAAGAAAAAAAAAAAGAGAAGGGTTGATGGCAGTGGAAGAGATAGATATAGTGATTGTTGGTGGTGGAATTGGTGGTTTAGCTACTGCTCTTGCTCTCCACAGGTTCCTTTTACTTCTGTTTTCTTTTTGTGAATAATAATGAATTTGTGTAATAGATAGTAAATTTTCTTTTTTATTTTTATTTTTTCTGATAAGTTGGTGTATAGTCTTAATTTTTCTGATAATTTGTGTAATAGATAGTACTAGCATATCTTAACTTCTTGTTTACCTTTTCATTTTTAAAAAGAAAGTAATGAATCTGTGTGTTAATCAATTTGGGTCATTGGATCGGGTTTGGGTCAAATTTCAAGACCTTTGATTCAAGTGGTTTGGATCATTTGGGTCATTACATTGATAAATGAGTCAAATCAGGTCGTTTTCAAGTAGTTTTGTTTGGGTTGGGTTGGGCTGGGCTGGATCGGATTTTTCTCTCTTAGTAAATCGTATTTGGAATTGGGTCGGGCCAGGAATTGACATGTCTAGGTAATAGAACTCTATCCCCATATATGTGAACTTCATGAATTTTTATTACCACTCAATACCATCTTGCAAATGATAATGGATGGTAATGAAGAATTATGAAGAAAAATGAGTGTATTGAGATGACCTCATATTACCATTGGTATTGACATACAATTTTTTTTCATTAATTTTCGCATAATTTCATTACCAGTTCCATGATTGCATGCTGTTGGGGATGTTACCAAGTTGATCTAATTTGGTTTGTATCTAAGGATGACATCTTTTATATTTGTAGTACACTGGTGATAAAAACTTACCTTAAAGAAGTAAGAAATATGATGTTTTTCAGAAGTGAGTTAAGGATGGTTGAAAGATTAAATGGTATTAAGAAGCAAAGTTGCTGCTGAAACATGTCTGCTGTTTATGCAGGAAAGGTATTAAGAGTGTGGTGTTAGAGAGGTCAGATACATTGCGAGCGACAGGAGCTGCTATTGGTGTTTTGCCTAATGGCTGGCGTGCCCTCCACCAGCTTGGTGTTGACTCCAGTCTTCGATCAACTGCTATTGCACTTCATAAGTACAACCCGAAATTCAAATTAGCTGCATGACATCTGAATTACTCGAATTTCTTTACTTTCAGTGTTTTTGTTTCTGTCTAGCTAACATCCTTCAGTATCCTACAGTGCAGTTGATCTTCAGGCTGAGACTGGTGTGGAACGAAGGTTTCTTTTGTGGTAATCATTACAGTTATTTTGATTTTGTCTAAATGGCAACAGCACTTCAAGAATCTCTTTTTCATAACTACACTAGACCTGGTAAATGGGTCATTCAGGTCGGGTCACTTTTGGGTCGGGTCATTTTGGGTCAGCTAACATTCGGGTCGGGTCATTTCGGGTTTCAGGTCAACAACTTCCGGTCTGGTATCGGGTCGAGTTCGGGTTGAGCCAATTTCGGGTCGTGTCAAGTATGTTCGGGTCATATTCGAGTCAAGTTAAATATGGTCAAGTCATGATCGGGTAGTTTCATTTGTGAATCAAGCTCAAATCAATTTATACGGAGTATATAATATATATTTTGTTAGTGTTATAATAAAAACCTATCAATTCAGTTTATAAGCTTAGCTACGGTAAAAGATGAACAATTTGAGTTATTTTTAGTACAAGACATTTCGGGTATCGGGACTATTCGAGTTAATTTCGGGTATTGGGTCTGTTCGGATCAAACACTTTGGGTCGGGTCAGGATCGGGTCAACTCCATTTTCGGGTCGAGTATGGGTCGTGTCGGGTCATTTTCAGGCCAATGTTTTTGGGTCAATTTCGAGTCATGGGTCGGGTCATCGGGTTTGGGTCAGGATTGCCAAACTACACTAAGAGAAATGTTTCGAAGATGCATATGTGCTTTACTCATGTTATCTTAGTGTGACACATGATGGGGACTTAATAATTTTAGTTATGGAGCTTTAAGGAATATAGAGGTTCTAGTTAAAAAAGCTGGGTTGAATTGTTACAAAATGGAAAGTTTATAATTCTTAGAGTACCTTGGAAAACAATGACAGTCTAAATTTGGGCATTTTAATTACAGTGAAGGGGAGGCTCGTTGTATAAGAAGAAGTGATCTCATTGAAGCCTTAGCAAATGCGCTACCACAAGAGACTATACGTTTTGGCTGCCAAGTAGTATCTATAAATGTTGAAAGATCATGTTCGGATGCAGTTCTTCAACTCCTTGACGGGAGCTTAATCAGGGCTAAGGTATTACAGCTGCTGTTATATACTTCACTTTAAAATCTTCTGGATTAATCAAATTGATTAAATTAGCCTGACTTATATGGGTTTCATCAATTTGTAGAACTATCTACTATACACACTAGCATTGGTATTGTGGAATGAACATTAATTATATTTCTAAAATTGATTTACACTTGAATAATCATACACCTACAAATTCAACTTGCAGGTGTTAATTGGCTGTGATGGAGCAAACTCAGTCATTGCTAATTACATTGGCTTAAAGCCTTCTCGTCGTTACTCCACATGTTCAGTCAGAGGCCTGGCTCGATATCCAAATGGTCATGGATATGCTCCTGAGTTCTTGAGGGTAAGAACAAAAAAGCATTTAGTTGGAAGAGTTCCAATTGATGATAAGACAGTATACTGGTATGTTTCGCTGCGCTGGGTACAAGAAGGTATAATTTCACCTATTTCATCAGTAAATCTATTCCTTCCACAGTTTGAATGTATAATATATTTGATGTAGGACCTTCACGATATAATGTCATAGTTCTAAACCTATCATACAAGAGATGTCAATATGTCAATGATTGGGTTATCATGAAGTTTTGTTTACCTGACCTAACATGCTGTAATTCACCATGGTCCCTGTTTGGAATTTTTCGGTTCACAAAGAGGAACGTAATATTTGTTTAAGGAAACTTTTTAGTTACAAGTACCTACTGGATATGGAACAATTCTAAGTGAAGTGTAACACACTAACACCTGGTAGTTTTGTTGGTAAAGTTATGGTCGGGTGTTACTTAAATCATGGATCAGATCAGTCTACATCATTGTCCTTCGTTCACATTAATGTAGTCTACACCCTCATCTCACTCATTTTAATTAATGTTTCTTACCCCTATAACCAAATCTTTCTCAGGAATAATACATTATGTTCTTATTAATCAGATTGGGATTAAACAACTAATCTGTTTTTGAGCAGATGCTGATATGCCAAAGGATCCTGCTTCCATCAAACAATTGACATTGAGCATGACAGCGGGTTTACCTAAGGATATCGTGGAGATGATAGAGAACACTGACTTAAGCACTTTTTCAGCCACACGACTGAGATATCGAGCCCCATGGGATTTACTTTCAGGAAACTTTCGCAAAGAAACTGTAACAGTAGCTGGAGATGCTTGGCATGTTATGGGTCCTTTCCTTGGGCAGGGTGGGTCTGCAGCTTTGGAAGATGCAGTTGTTCTTGCTAGATGTTTATCAAAGAAGATACGCATTGCTGATGTGAACGAGAGCATTATGCATTTGTCAGCACAGAAGGCTATGGAAGCTCTGGATGACTATTTGAAGGAGAGGAGGCAGCGAGTAGTACTCTTATCCATCCAAACTTACCTCACAGGTTTATTGGCAGTCGAGAAACCCTATTTTCTGTTGAAATTCCTGTGCATCATACTCCTGTTTGTTTTTTTCCGAGATCTGCAAAAACCCCAAAAATATGACTGCGGTGAACTCTAAGACCTTTCTGATGCTGCCACTGAAGTAGTTTCTATATATCTGGGTTGGATATTTCACTTTTACTCATCCTCATCCTCAAACAAGTAACAATTAATAATATAAGATGATGAGCATTAGCACCAACTTTTTTGGTGCAATGTGAAATCCTCTTATGATTGTATTCTGAAAGAGTTTTATGTACTGTATCATGTCATCGAACTTAGTCTAATCTGATGATCTGATCGATGTACTACAGTCAAAGGTAAGGCATGTATATGCAACTCTTCTAAATTATCTTCTTGCTTCCAGTCTTCTAGAAAGGTTTTTGTTACAGTGTGGTGTGATTTTTATTTAATTCTTCTTTTGGTTTAGGCATGAAAATGTGACAGGATTAACTTCTTGTCACCTACCTAATGCAACCGCCTTTCTAGTAGTATGTAGTAGACTTGGGACCAACAATATATGTTATGTTGGATGCTGAAATAAGTAATGGCTGCGAGGAAACACGCACACAATGCTGAAACAGGGGAAACAAGGTATCTGTATGAGGCCAATGTCTAAGGTCCTCATGAAGAGATGGCTGTATGAATGACCTGCGTAAGCTGAGTGAACAACTAACACCAAAAGTTCTTTCAGGCGTTTATTAGACTGTATAGGCTGATGACCGGAGCTTGATCGAGTCTTCAGATTCTTATTGTTGGTTACTTGACAGAAATTATGGCCACTAGTATGGGCAAGGTTAGTAAAACAAGAAGCTTTACTGTCTTTTGTGCAATTGAAACTATCTGCACCGTATAATATGGGCAGAGAAGCCGCATCAGCAGCTGAGGATGTCGCGCACCCTATGTATGATGTCTTGTCCTTGAGCGAGGCAGGGTGACTGCTCTGCTTTAGAAAACATTGTTGCATAATGAGCTTGAATTGTAGCATAACAACTTGACATCTAGAGAATAAACCAAACCCGACCCAAAATCATACTATTGAACAAATGTTTTTAGTAATATGACTATTATCACTCTCCATTGGATTGCCATTGTCATTATTCGCAACAAACATAATGTGGGAGACGACACAAACATACAAGAACAATTGATGAAGCAAACGAAATTAAAAGGGATTAAAAGAAGAAAAATGAAAGGAAAGAGCAGGCAGTTAAGTGAATAAATATTAATGAGTAAATATAAAACAAATCACAATTTGAATTCAATCTTATACACACATTATCCTAATCAATAATGATGCAACATGAACCAATTCAATTGTGTACATGCAACAAACAATTATAGTATACTTGTAATAGTATGAAGTATTATATGCAAACAAATTAAATTAAACTTAATTTGTGCATGCATTCATGCATGGAAATTAAATTTTTATACATTACATGTCAATCTAATTGAATAAAATCCCAAAAAGGAAAAAAAAAAATGCAAAAATCACTTGGTATATCCCCAGAAATCCATTTCTCCACGTAAAGAAAGTTGTTGTTGCTGATGTTGTTGATTCATTTCAAGCACAGTAGAAGTCAAGTCATTAGCACTAGCATTAGCCTGCTGCTCACCATGATGTTCATCTTGTTGGTGGCCAACCACGCGGTCAAGCATAGCCCACTCGTTGATCCCTGGATGATGAGGGTCTGAAGGTTCACATGGTCCTACCTCGAGGGCAGTAGGACCACCACCCTCGCTTGCTTGGTAGAGATGGTGAGGATGAGTCGCGTAGTCAGGAGGAGGTAGGGGTGCAATTTGGTGTGGGTGGGAGTAGCTATGAAGCCCTAAGTCGGGTTTATTCATGTATAAGTCAAAGGTTGAGGTTGCTTGAGGATCATTGCGTAGGAGGAGGTGGTGAGGGTATTGAGGATTATTGTTGGTGTGATCCCTAGGGATGAAGTGGCGTGATTGGTTCGCGGTACTTGATCCCGTGGGGTTGCATAGTAGCTGATCGGAGGTAGCGCTTGTTGTAGTTCCTCCTCCTTGTTCACCTCCAATCTTGAACAAGTTTTTCTTCTTGAATACTCTACATATAACCCATCCATCTTCCTGAACATGTATTAAAAAAAAAAAAAAATTAATTAAGTAATATATACTTCCTCCGTTCTTTTTTTACTGCTAGAATCATCTCAATAATAAATACTATCATAATATCGATGTCATCAGCATAATATATAATTTTTACGTATGAAATTTAAAGGTGTTGATGGTTAAAGTTTAATCAAACAGGTCAATTAAAAAAATTACATTTTTTTAGGTATTATTTGTTGTATCACAAATACTTTTATTTTTCTCTTCATAAAACAGAGAATTGAGTTTTATGATAATTTCAAAATGTAACACAATAACTCACAACTGAAACTTAGCTTGAGAATGCACAAATAATGCATATATGATCAAGCTACGTACAAAACTACAAATATACTAAAACAAAATTATTTTAGCGATCATAGAGTTGAAGTAACTTTATTTATTTTGGAAATAACAATACTAATATACTAAAACTAATTAAACTACTTTTATCGAACATGCTCTTAATTAACACCTTAGAGTATCTATTATTAGCATGCATGCACATCATAGATTATTTTGTCATAAACCAACTTTATTAATCTAAATTATAAGCACATAAATGTTAAAAAAAAGGGTATAATTAGGAAAAAATATATATAAAAAAGTGGGAGTAATACTTACACCATTAGCTTGAGGATCATCAGTATCTTCTAAGCGATACTCATGCATAATCCAATCAGTTTTTTGACCATGAGGAGCTCTTCCTCGATAGAAAACCAGAGTTTTGCGCATACCAATCTTCTTGAAGCTGTTTCTGATGCATTTGTCTCTCCCTGTGGCCTTCCAAAACCCGGCATTCGTTGCTCGGTTAGTCCTTGATCCTGTTGGGTATTTCCTATCCTTGTGGCTGAAGAAGTACCATTCATTTTGCGGAGTTGATCCTATCCTACACCTCTCTATCAATAGTAATCAACATATTTGAATATACACGTTAGTTTACTATACGATACATAGATCTGATCTGATCGTGAGAGAAGACTGTTCTAACTTCTTGTGTATTTTTTAATTTTTTTTTTAAAAAAATATGCTAGGTGTATGAAAACCTTTTGATGAATGCGTATTAATACAACAAATTATATTTGTTTGTTAGAAATCAGCATAAAATTAATCTTTCACTTGGACCTTCAATCATACATATATAGATTAGGTCAAGAATATGAGTGATTTGTGCCCTAAAATGGGGGTGAACCAAAGAAATTTCAGATAGAGGTGCACTTTCATAAATAATAAGATTCAGTTGCGAAATTTAAAATCTTATCATACTCGATGATGAGTCATTTGGTTTGGTTTCAAATCATAAAATTTTACTATAAGGTCGAGTTAGTCTAGTCAAAATTGAATCACCTAGTTTTTTGTACAATTATTTGAGTCGAGGTCAAACTGTTTCCGGTTGGAATAATGCTCATGTTAGCTAGCTAGGGTCGAAATTTACATATTATTCCAAAGCAAATTAAGTAGCATACTCATACAATTTAATTCTAACTACTCATACAATATAATTCTAACTAACTAACTATATATATAGTGATAAAATGAGATAAAACTGACCTTTATGCATAAGTAAATTTCACCACCTACAAGTATATGTAGAAACGTAGACGTGTTATAGTTGTAGGCGGTGAAATATACGTAGGTGTGTTATTTACTAAAAAAAGGGCACTAATTTATTATTTCTAAACACCGCAAAAAAATAAACCCTAATAATGGCTTAGGAGAATAAATCTGTGACAATATAGCAACCTTTTTACTTGTGAATTAAGGCTGCTAATCTGATATTTTGTCACAAATGTTGCCTCACATATCCATTCATTCTATTTCATACATCAATCATACATTCATACACGATATACATGTACATAATTATGACTTTGATCTATCAAGCAATCGTATATCAATGAGACTATTAAACAATCCAATAATAATAAAATCGCAAAATTAATCAGTTAGATAATATGATAGGACAAGAAATCAAAATTGAATATATTTAGTTAAGATCTATAAATGCTTCAAATGGTTTTTAAAATTTTAAGATTTTATCTAGTACATACTTGCAATTATATATTAAGCATCTTTTTAAAAAAAAAAATAGCATATAAGATCCCGTTCACTTCAACTTTTTTTTTTTTTTTGCTAAATTGAAATTGTTTTTATTGAACTGAAATTATTTTTGCTGAACTTATATTATTTTTACTAAACTAAACTGAACTGAAATATTTTATTTTTATTTGATATCTTTGTCAATTTTGTTTCTAATAAAATTTCTTGAACACCATCATCATGAGAAATTATATATACTTTTTTTGGATTTGTAAATTTGCTTCTAATATTTTTGCCTTTTATTTGATTTACTTATTATTTATGTTAGTATTAATACGAGTTATACTTTTTTTTGCAAGAATTTAACCTAAAATTGTATGATGGTAAAAATGACATCTATAACCAACGAAGGTAAAATTGAATATGCATGTGTTTTTAACCTTGTTGATGAACTGAACAAAAAATAGTACGGAGTACTAGTATTTGTAAATTAAAGAGAATAGATATTTGTAATATGAACATACTCCCTTAGATTTAGAAAGAGTAAATTAAATTGAGTGTTATTTAAGGATCATGCACAAAGATTAAGAAAGGAATTTAATGTTTAGTTAATTAACCAAAATACCAGGCCATCCCATACATATTGGACTAAATACATTTATCACATGGGTTAAAGTGTGAAAGTAAATCATAGTATTATGCTTGCATACAAAATCTATTTTTAAAAATTATTATATACTAAAAAGAGTTTCAAAAATGAAATACTTTGTTTTTTACTAAAAAAAGAAAATTGAATGAAATAATTTTTGAATTGGTCCAATTCAATTCAATTCAATATTTAGTCTTCAAATATCCAACAACCTAATACAAATGATATATACCTCAAAACTACTATCGGAAATATTATAATATACATGTATACAATTCTTATGATTGCATGCATATAAAAAGCTAAAAATAAGAATGTTAATCTACATTATCATTAAAAATAAGAATGAGTACTAATTAATTCCAACTTTCAAAATGTACTAAAAGAGCTTGTATGCACACAATATTTCATCGCCCAATACAATTTATGTTTGATCAAATAAGTATTACCCTATGTGTTTCAAATATATATATATGTTCATATCTTAACTTTGATAAAAATTAAAATTTATAAAAACATAGTACAAGCTAATTAAGAGTAAGTTCATTATAGATATCTTAGGTGGACACCAAACTTAAAGAACCCATATGTTCTAAGATTGAACTTTACATTGATTGTAATTAACATCTATCAAGTGTAAATTTTATATTGTTCTTGCTATAAATTTTGTTATTTTTCTTATTTCTTTGAGAATAATTTTTGAGAGAATTTTGATCAAAATTTGACCTTCAAATATAGGTATTTTATTTATTAATATAAATGAGAGGGAATAATTTTATAAAGGATTATACTCACTATGGTAAATTAAAAGGGTATTATACTTGTACTCTCCTCTTGATCTAAATTCTATTTTAGCAATCAAAAACTTTTAAATAATAGGGTGTACAATTGTACATCCCCTAAATAAATTAAAACTTACTTCAATATAAAATAAAGGTTACCTATATTATTGCTAATAAATTTACTCTTTTTTCATCAAATTGAGCTCATAAATTCAATCATAAACATAATATCATAATACCTTTCTTAAAATTTATTTCTAAAAAAAAAAAACTCTGTAAATTATAATAAAAATTAAATCAAAAGTTCTTTTTCCACAAAAAATAAAAATAAACAAAGGTTAAAAATTCTGTAAAATAAAATAAAATAAATAAATAAATAAAAAAGTTACCCAGAATTGGTTAAAACAATTTACAATTTGCCAAATGTACAAATCGAAATAGTGAAATACTATTGTACATTAGTCCATTTATATAAAGTGCCCCTTTAAAAAAAAAAAAAAAAAAACCCAAGAATTTCTTTTAATTCATTAAATTCCCTGCTTTACGCTTATTATCATAATTATATTTATAAGTGATCTGACTTCCTGAATCTAGGTGCATGACTATAATGAAGGAATTATGAATTCACTCCACATATTTTATCTTTCATTCTGAAAATTAACATTTAAGTTGGTTAGTAATGGTATGACAAAAGATTTATGCAATAGTTGTACAACTAATTATACAAATCCCTACAACTCTCTTACAACCCTTAAAAAAGAGAGATTTACGATATTTGTAAGAAAATATACATAAAATTTAGGTAAAATTAGGTACGTAATAATTCATTTAAGAGAAGAAAATAATTTTTTTGTTTCTAAAACTTCTTCTTTTATATTTGGACAGTAATGATTATATCACGAAAAAAGTTAGTCAAAATAGAAAAAGAACTTGTAGAGATGGAGGAGCGATTATATTTAATAAATTTACCTTGAAGTTCCCAAGGCTCCATCTTGTTCAAATCAACTTCACGAATAACCTCCATATCAAACTTTTGAAAGCTGATTTTCTTCTTAAGGTAATAGTGTAGCAACTCTTCATCCGTAGGGTGAAACCGAAACCCCGGCGGAACACCGCCATTGTTCGAAGATCCCATATTAATCTTAGCCTCTTATTCTCACCTGAAGCAATACTATAACAATCAACCAACCAACTCAAAAACCGTACTCCTACGCATAAACATGCATAATATTATTGCAACTAACAAACCTTTTTTTTCTTTTTTTTTTTTTTTTTTTTTTGGGGAGTGCTATCCAATGATTTTTTGGTGCTTTAAAATGCAGTTACATAAGGTTTTATATAAGTGGACTTACATACATACGTTAAGTTAGTAATATAAGCTAGAAAAAAAAAATTTAGGAAATGAATGAAAGAAGATGAGTTTATTAAAGACAGATAAGAGAAGCGAGGAATAAAGAGTAAGATGTCAACGGGATAGCGTGAAGGAGAGAAAGTTTACGGGGCGGTCTCGACGGCGTCGGCTAGGGGAAGCTGATGAGCTATCACACACACACACACAAAGAGAGAAAGTCTAGATCATCTAGTTTCATTTTTATTTGTTAAATTGTACGTAGGAATTTAATTAATTAATGAAATACTAATTAATTAAATTCCTTTTTATTTACATTTGTTTTTTTATAAATTATTTGTGTTCAAAAGCTTACGTAAATACTACTCTAAAAATTTTGCAACGATTACGAGACAACTCGATCGCCATGGATTAATTAACACCATTGTTTCCAATTGTTTTTGGGTATTTTCATATATTTTACTATTAATTTTCCCTCCCTTTCGCCTACTAATCTTCTTCATGTGCCCTTAGGGCGCGTCGTCGGTTTTGCTTTGACTTTTTATGCTTCTCCAATTAGCGTAATAATAATTTCTATCTTACATTCGGGTGTAAATATTTATATATTTTTCTCCTTGTGTTTTAGCTAGTCTTAAGGACAACGTAATTAAAGAAAAAAATGTTTGATAATTTTACACTCCGGTGTAAGATATATATCTTGACTAAAGTCAAGATGTCAATCGACTAAAGTTGGGTTATTGGGCCGGTCTAAAGTGACTATATTATAATTATTGTGTCAATCATATTTTAGGGATTTGGTTACTTATTTGGTGATTAATAAAGCGAAGTGCAATAGTATTTTTTTCCATGATTAACAAACTTAAAACATAAACTTAATACATGCAAGATTAATAGGTAACCCCTTGCTATAATTAACCTTATATATTTTAGAATGAGTAGTACGTAACTATCTTATGTTTTAATGTATTGGCTAACCGCTAACTGTTTTCACTCACTTTCCCATGCAACTTAATTGTGCTTGCGTGATTCCAATCTCTAGGATATGTTATGAATGAAGGAGACAATCAAAATTATCCTTTATCACACTTTTACTCTAAGATGCACACTCTATGTTTTTCTTTTTATAACTTTGATCGACGTTAATTATATCATGCATTTAAGATTTTTTAAATCCAAATTAAAATAGGTGATCAACTATACATATGTAACTAATACTCCCTACTTAGCTTCCTTGGTTTCTTATTACTTACAAGGTTGCAACACAAACTTAAAATGCATGCCGTACAATGAGTTTATCGGATTTAATTTCATTTTCAAAATTAAACTCTAGTATCGGTAATATAATAACAAGCTTTGTACCAATTAAACAATCAATTTAACTTTGTATTAGAGCCAGCGTAACAAGAAGATCACATGTTCAAATTTCAAATCACTCTTTTAAAATTGAAATAAATAGTGTTGGGTATGAGGAAGTCCTGAACGATATATTTAGCGTTAGGTATGATGCATCTACACTTCAAATTGGCTTCTTATGTTGGGGGGGGGGGGGGGGCGGGCATGATAGATATTGTATTAAATAGTAACATATTACGAAGCTTTAACTATTAGTTTAAGATTTTAGTTGAGTTGATCCTTCCGAAGTCTTGTTATCTCACATCCTCTTTTATAGATGGATGACAAGAAATAAATTGCAAAGTCGCATAAGACTAATTAAAGCAATAAACGATCCCGAGAGCATAAAAAAGGGTAAAATGATTATGGGACATTTGTTTCCTCCCAAAGCAATGCTCTGAAAGATAAGTAAACCCATAAACACCCACCTAAAAACGAAACTTCTTGGGATTCTCCATCTCTTGCTTAATTCTGGGATTTCTCCCCCATTATTTTATGTACAATTATATGGAATTTCATAAATATTAAATTTAATTTAGATTAAAGTTAAAATAAATAATGATGGAATTTGAGCTGTTTTTTCTTTCATTTAAAAAGTTATCAAGATTATACATAAATTTGAATTGAAAATACATCATTGAATTGTATTTTGATCACTAACTTTAGTTAGAAAATATTTTAAAGCTAATATTAAATTGGTATGAAAAAACTATTACATACTTCAATTCCCAGTTTCTAGCTGGTTTATTTTAGTTGATACTTGAACTTTTTTTTTTTTATGACATTTGTGAAAGCATAAATTTTTCAATTAAACTCACTAATTATCAATAAGGAAAAAATCATAAAAATTGATATTATGAAAACATACATTGGAAGTATTCAAACAAGATCTAGCATGACTTTGTTTTACCATAACTGTAATTTAGTAAATCACAAATACTAGTTAGAATAAAAAAAAATATTTGCACTAACTTCAATACCATTGTTAATAATAATTAGTATCTCTAATATAATATAACAAAAAGTTTATATTCTCTCTTAATTACACAAGTTTGATTTTGATACTATTCACATGCATCATTTTGAGTAATAAAGTTTGTGCTTTATACAAGTACATAAGATTAACTCTAGTCATGTGAACCATTTAGCCAGTAAACTGTCGATTTCCTTTCATTAGCTCTAAAAACCAAGCTAAGGGCCATTATGTGACCAACGAATGGTCATATATAGTTCCAAGCACTATAGAACTCTGACGATGCATCATCTACAATTTTGATAATTTTCGACACGTAACCTTCGCAATTGGTCTAAAAGCATGAATTACAATCTTCAATTTTAGACTTTATTTTTTTTTACTTCTCCAGTCACAGAAAAGATAAAGCTCATGGTGCATCCCACAGACCTCACGACAACTTGGGAGGTCATTTTAGCGATTGGAGTCATCCGCTTTATCTTTCAATTATCAATAAGTTTGTTTATGTATCCGTCTCCTTTTGTTAGCCCAAGGCCACCTTGGAGCTTTATGTGACTAACTAATGGCCGTATGTATTTAGTTCTAAACAACATTACATAACCCCGGGATGCAACCCGTACAATGGCAATAGTTTTTGACATCAGGTTCTGAAAACCTCCAAAATTGGTCCGAAAGCTTGTATAACCCTCAATTTTTTTTTTTTATACAATTTTACTTTTCTAGACCCGAAAAGAAAGTGTGCGGGATATCTCTATAAATCCCACAACACTTTGGGAGGCCATTTAAGTGTTTAGAATTCTCTACTTTGCTTTTAACTTATCAATATGGTTGTTTGCGTATATATCTCCTTTTATATTCCAAGGCCACAACATGTAACTAACTAATAGCCATGTACAGTTCCTAACAACATTACATGACCTCAAGATGTGTTCCCTGTAATCTTCTACGTTTCATACATTGAGTCTCAAAACCTTTAAAATTACCTTGAAATCTTGGATTCCTTCAAATTTGGAAGTTGGATAACTTTGTATACTTGAAAATTTTATGCATTGAGATAATTCTCAAGCTTCCCAAGGGTTCTCCAGACGCATAATTGGTGCTCAAAACCATCTCATTCATGCCTTGTCCCACCTACCTTTATCATGTCCTAAGAGGCTAAGATGCATTGGCTTGGCTTTAAGGTGCCTTGGCTTGGCCTTCCTAAGCCTGCATTGTCTTGATTTGGCCTCTAAGACAAGCTAAAAACACCACCCTCAATATTCAAAAATAGGTGTTTTTTCTAAGAATGAGGTGTTTTATGCCTTGTACATGTGCACACGCCCTATGCCCTACCCCATGGCTACAATATGGTCGTACCTTGGCTGGGAAGCAGCTCTAACATCCTGAGAATTGTGGGTAGTGACGTCACCATCCAAGTATATCCAATACTCCACATTTAGTCCTTGTGCCTTGGCAGTTAAAAGCATATGATTCTCAAAAAAAAAAAAAAAAAAAAAAAAAAAAAAAAAAAAAAAAAAAAAAAAAAACCAGACAAAAATGTTATTAGAAGCATATAATTTTCGTTGTGACAACTTTCTTACTCCAAATTTTCATTAATATGCGCTCACTTGTGCTTAATTTAGTTGATTGTGAAATTCAATTGCAATAGAAATCTTTGCTACAACCAATATTTTATAATATGAAGCAGAATAACTTGACAATTAACACATTCAAACAGAAAGAAGACCTTCAAGGCTTTTAATTAGTCAGTCATCAAAATAAGAGGCTGCCTGTTTTTTGTTCGACGCATACAAATAATATAATTTGGTCCTTGGCTACCTAAAAGCCGGAGCACCCTAAAGTGTAGTGTAGACAAGCTCTCATAACAGGACCAAAAAAATAAAAGGAAATTATATCAATTAGCAAAAAGTTGATTTGGACAATGTTCTGAAGACATTCCACTCCACGAACCCTTCTTTGCCACAACAAATACATGATATTCAATTACAGAATCAGAGAGTCCATACACACAGAAGAATAATTACAGAGAAAACCTAAAATTGAATAAACATATTTCTAAATGATGAATTTACAAAACTGTATTTATATGAAGAGCCTTAAGTAACGAAGTTGCCATCTGTTTTACCAAGACTTGGCCACTCCCACCAGATCTCTGCCCATCTCTTCGCTCCTCAATTAAATTCTGGAGCTTCTGTGGAAGATCATTCTCCACGATCAGTTGTTTTGGCCGAGGATGGTGCTCATAAACAGCCTGTAAAAAGTTTGCAAGACATGCAAAAGTCAGGAAAACAAAATAATCAATAGAACCCATCCTTTCTGTGGGTAATCCATAAAAAACTACTGGATACTACAAGCAACATTCCCCTAAAAATTGTAGGCAGTCATCTTGTGACAATATGCCCAGAAATGGCACCAAAGAAACACAAATGATACAAGGATCTTTGACATCACTTCAACACATTTATGAACAATAAGACATCAGCAGTAAATCGAAAATATATGTTCATTTGTACTATTGCAACATCAACGTAAAACGTTAAAGAGAATCCAGCCCTAGGCAAAGAAAGGGTTAAGATGATCCTGAGATGACAAAGAAGTCTCCTATATTGAACCATGATCTACTATGAAAGTTCACTAATATCACAACATTTTAAAAATGCAGAAAATCTGATGAGCCATTTTACTGTTTTAGATTAGTCCATATTATATAATAATACAGAAGTCAGAAGAATGCATATGGAGAGTATGTTACTCAAAATTCCTCCTGAATAAAGATGAAGAAAAGAGACAGTTGAAAGAATAAAGATGTAAATAACTAAATATGCAGGTCTTTGTAAATACCAGATTTTGAGACAATAAGGACTAACAGAAATCTATTGAAACTTCAAACGATTCCTTTT